CTTGCTAATTTGTGTGTTATTTCATTAGCTGATTCGAAAATTCACTCTATAAATAATAGTAAAAAACTTCTCGTTGGAATTTTTATAATTAATTATATGTAAAAATTATATTATCAATTTGGCTATAGGTATAACTCTGTAATAGTACGCGCATCAACACACTGACTTGACACTAGTATAATTATTAGCGCAAAGTTTGTGCAGTGAACATATGGTAAGAAAAACCAACGACAACTTTTCCCCCAGTAAGAAAGGCATGAATCACACGCCAGAACCAAAACTTATAACTAACGGTTACTCAACAGAAAAGAGAGAGAGAGAAACAGAGAAAAATGAGGAGAGAGAAAAATAGAGAAAGCTTCAAAGCCGAGAAATGCGGCTACTTGCCGCCACTTCTTTATTTCACGAAAACAAATCAAGAAAATTAAAAATAAATAAATAAACCTCCTCATAAAAGTCTACCTCCCAAAAAAGAATATTTAATACAAAAATAGTTTCCGGAAAAAAAAGTCTAAAAACAAGAGGGAACCCATTACACTAGAGAACAATAGCTACCCTCTAAAAACTACCCAAAAGCTAAATCAATACCCAACAGTTGTGCAGATTTGGGACTCCCCCTCATTTTGCTGTGCTAATCGATCATGATACTCTCACCCTCTCTCTTTTTCTTCTCTACTCTTTGGTTGCGTATGGAGAAATACTTACGATGAAAAAAGTCAGCGTCTCCTTCGTATATATACAAAAATATTTATAAGACATCTTATAATCTCTCTCTCTCTCTCTCTGAACTCTTTGTTTTGCTTTGCTTCATTTAACTAGCTAGAGTTCAGAGAAAATCTCTGCAACCCTTTTCTTTCTTCTTCTTTTTTCTCTCTCATGCACGCTCTTCTTTCTAATTGATATCAAAAGTTATGTGCGACTTCTTCTGGCAGATCAGGAACGACGGCGTTGATCATGGTCTCTGAACTCTTTGTTTTGCTTTGCTTCATTTAACTAGCTAGAGTTCAGAGAAAATCTCTGCAACCCTTTTCTTTCTTCTTCTTTTTTCTCTCTCATGCACGCTCTTCTTTCTAATTGATATCAAAAGTTATGTGCGACTTCTTCTGGCAGATCAGGAACGACGGCGTTGATCATGGGATGAGATGATCGCTCAGCAGCAAAAGCTAGTGAGAGTTGGTGATGAAATGAAGAGGCCCTGCAGCAGCCTCTTTTCGAGGGTGCTGCAGATCTCACCGGCAAAAGTGCCCTTGCCGCTGTCGCCGAGGGCGATAAAGCCGATGCCGACGATCGGCGATATGGTCAAGCTTGAACACGGTGTGCAAATCTCCCCTCGTGCTCCCGGGATGAAGAGAAGGTAAACAATAAATTTTATTAACTCTCATATATCAAACTTTTTGTTTTTTTGGGACAAATAGTGGTAGTGGATTTGTTGAGCTGAGCTTTCAATTTAGTTATCTGAAACTTTTCCACAGGATCAATCTCTGTCAAGGCCCAAACTATATTCCCATGATCACCAAACTTTAAATCCTACTTTTTGAATAAATTCCAAGACACAGAGTTCTCTTTTTATCACTAGAGTCTAAGGATTCCTCGAGGGGATTTTGTATTTGATTGGTTCTTTTGGTGCAAAACTTTTGCAGAAAGAGCCAGGCAAAGAAAGTGGTTTGCATTCCAGCGCCAGCAGCAGCAAGCAGCAGGCCAAGTGGAGAAGTGGTGCCATCTGATCTATGGGCTTGGAGGAAGTATGGACAGAAACCCATCAAGGGTTCCCCTTATCCTAGGTAATTTTCCATTTTAATTACTTATATATATACTCGCTTATTATCATATGCTTAAAAATAAATATACATCGATGGAATTTATAAAGATTAAAAATTTCTAACTCCTAATGCAAGAGGAAAGGGATGTGTTCAAGGAGTAGGGAACACGTACAGTATTAATTTCGATCTCCTTCTGTCTTATTTATTCTTTTTCTTTATGCTTTCTTCTCTCTTACTCCAAATCATGGGTAACCCCTTCATATCTTTGCTCCTTTACTTCTCCTCATCATCTGATTACTAAAGTCACTAGCTTATTTATCAAAAATAAGAGCATATTAACAATAACTCAAGGTAAATTAATTAACTTATTTTTTCATAATCAATTAAATGAATAATAGACACTTAATTATTCATTTCAGTTCCTTGTCACTAAATGAAAACTTTTTTCCATAAGCTTACTTACTCTTTAAATGCCTTGTCAATAAGCACGACATTCTAATAATATATACAATCCAAAAGTACATAAGTTATATCAGTAGGATCAAACACTAAACTCTATTATGAATTTTGCCTTCATTTATTGAATATATAATTTTTATCAATATAGCATCCCAACAATATCAATACATAATTCATAATAACATGCACTATAAACTAACAGTTTATATCAACAATTTACACAGGCACTAAATTTGATTTGCTTTAATCTTCTAGAATCTCTCAACTTTTATCAATAACTAACCATTGGTATCAAATTGCTATAATTTGATCAATGTTAACATCAAATTTTGTACAATTTTCAGGGGCTACTACAGATGCAGCAGCTCAAAGGGATGCTCGGCAAGAAAACAGGTAGAAAGAAGCAGAACTGATCCAAATATGCTAGTCATCACCTACACATCTGAGCACAACCACCCTTGGCCTACTCAACGAAATGCGCTCGCGGGGTCCACAAGAACACAGCCGCACAAGAACTCCTCCACCTCTTCAACCTCCAAATCCTCAACCTCAACTTTGAAGGAAGAGCCTAAAAATATCAACCCTAATACAAATTCAAGTTCAAGTTTGCCTACAGTTAAAGAAGAAGTCGTTAGTGGAATGGATAACGTAACGGTTGACAATGTGTTCTACAATGAGCCAGCGTCAATGGCTGGTTCGAGCCAACCCGATGATTTCTTTGCTGATTTGGCTGAGCTTGAACCCGACCCGATGAGCCTTATTTTCTCGGGGTCAGGGTTCGTTGGACAGAAGCCTGAAACTGATCAGGAGAAGGAGAGTAGTAAGGGATTGGACCCTTTCATTGATAATATGTTTAATTGGTGAAGGTTTGATCATAGAATGTTTATTACTTACTTAGTTGTTAATTAGCTTACGTATTGGTTTCGGGGCTATTTTTAGTTTTTAGTTTCTTTTCCTTATTTTCTAGGGCTAATTGCGGATAGACCTTTGTCGTAGTTCTATTATATATTGCAAATAGGCTCCTTATTGAAATTTTCAACTCTTTTATCGATCCTTGGAGAAAAGAGAAACTGTTTTTCGACAAATAGATCTATATATATGCAATGAGCAATAGTAGAGGGATCTATCCGCGATTGGGGAGTGTATATATATGCAATGAGCCATAGTAGAGGGATCTATCCGCGATTGGGCAATACTATAAGGTGGTACATCAGCAATTAATTAACCCTATTGTTTAAGGAATGGAAGAGAGCCTACAACCCTGCATAGTTTGGGGGTGGATTGTGGGGAGACCCACATATATGGGGATGTTGGAGGATGAGACAGAAAGCTGAAGAACAGAAGCTTTCAACAGTTAGAGATGGCAAGTACATGTCTGAGATGTGACAGAAAAAGGCTAGATTAATTACATGGAGAACCTGATGTAAATTGTTCATAAAAAAAGGGTTATGAATTTGCTTCTTATCTTTTCATTTTCACACCTTATTCTCTCTCACTCATTCTCCATCTTTTCCCCCTCTCTTTTTTCAAACTATGGGAGTGACAGATGATTTCGAGTCTAGTGGTCATACAGTAGTTCCTTATTGATAAACAGGAGCTTTTTCCTTTGGTGCACTCGCTGGTGTACTTTGACAAGATTGGTTAAAGGTACAGGTGTTAAAAACCTGCAGTGTGAGTGGACAGTATGAGAAATATTCACTTTCTTAATCATAAATAATTAAACAGTAGTATATAAATAATTATGATTTATTCCAATAGAATTAACATCATATCTTTGTAAATTATACTCAATTTTCATTTGTTTCTTTTGATAAATCATGATCGCTCATTAAATAATAGACAGTTATAAGACACAGAAGAAATTATCTTTTTTATTAGAATTCCTCACCAACTTAGATTATTCTAGAACTTCTTTCTAGTAACATCCTACAAAATATCTACCAAGAAGTTTCTAGGAAGATACAAGTGTATGGCTAGTATTTATTCTTCTAGAAATTTCTGAGTAATGTATGGCTAGGATTAACTCTTCTACACACTTCCTAGCCCTCTTAAACAACTATAAATAGGGGTCTTGGGCTCACATTTGGGTAAGCAAGGAAGAAGTAAGCTTGAAAGCTTGAGTGTGTAGTGTAGGCTTGTGTGAGTGTTCACCAAAATAAAAAAGTTGTGTGAAAGTGATGTGCTCTTGTAAGAGCAAGTATTGTACTCTCTAGTGTCCTATCAATAAAAGTTTCCTTTTGTGTAGAGGGTTATATTCTTCAAATTTTATCAAAGTGGTATCAGAGCATGGTTCGATCTAGACGGGCCAATGGAAGGTGCTCGTGTACGAGATGGGCGAACATGATCCAGCCACAGATTCCGAAGCTGATGAAGACCAATTATGATAAGTGGAGTATCCAGATGAAAGTCTTGCTCGGCTCGCAAGACTTGTGGGAGCTCGTGGAGAATGGCTACACTGAACCAGAGAGTCACCTACAGCAGAAGCAACTCTCACCACCACACAGAAGAGTGAGATGAATGAGGTCATAAAAAGAGACAAAAAGACTGTGTTCCTAATATTCCAAGGCGTAGATGAATCATCGTTTGAGAAGATTTTCAACGTCATGTCCTCTAAAGAAGCATGAGAGATTTTACAAAAATCCTATCAAGGTGCGGAAAGAGCCAAAAAGGTATGTCTCCAAGCATTAAGAGTTGAATTTGAAAATTTAAAGATGAAAGCTACAGAATCAATATCAGACTATTTTAGTAGAGCTCAGACAATAACTAATCAAATGAAGAGAAATGGAGAAGCAATTATCAATATCAGACTATTTTAGTAGAGCTCAGACAATAACTAATCAAATGAAGAGAAATGGAGAAGCAATTAATGATGTAAGAATTATGAAGAAGATACTTAGGACATTAGACTCTAAATTCAAATATATTATTCCGGTAATACAAGAGTCTAAAGATCTTTCCGAAGTTTCTATTGATGAGCTACAAGGTTCTCTGCAAGCTTACGAACAAGATATAAACATCAGTTCAAATCAAGCGGAGAATCTAAAGCAAACCTTGCAGAGTAAGATGGCTATTAAAGAAGATAGTCGAAGAGGACGTGGAGGCTACAGAGGCAGAGGCTCTTTTCGAGGTGGCTCAAACTTTCAGCAAGGTCGTAGGAGACAGTACCAAGGAGGCCAAGAAAATCAAGATCGAAATAGAGATCGTGAACAATCGTTCGATCGAGGACGAGGTCGTGGCGCACAAGGACGAGGACAAGGAAGAAGTTACCAGGAGGACAGATCTCAACCACAGTGTTACAAATGCAAGAGATACGGCCATCTCAACTACGAATGCTGGGAGAAACCAAATCAAGTGGCAGAAAAAAATAACTTTGTAGAAATGGAGCAGCCAGACACTTCAACAATCCTGCTGACGTACCAAGAGAATGAAAGCAAGAATCAAGATATCCGGTATCTGGATTCAGGTACCAGTAACCACATGTGCGGCATCAAGGAGTTCTTTACCGAGCTAAATGAGACGGTGCAAGGAGATGTCACTTTTGGAGACCAGTCAAAGATTCCAGTAAAGAGCAAGGGTAAGATAATGATGACAAAGACGGACGAGAATAGGTACATCTCTGACGTCTATTATGTTCTAGTACTACGAAATAATATTTTGAGCCTAGGCCAGCTCCTTGAAACAGGCTATGATATACATCTAAAAGACTTTGTCCTCACTATCATGAATAAAAATAAAGTAATTGCAAATGTGAACATGTCTCGAAATAGACTGTTTGCCTTAAATATTCATATTGACCCTGTCAAGTGCTTAAAAATGATTATGAAGGATGAGTCTTAGCTCTGGCATTTGAGATTTGGGCATTTTGCATTCAGTGGCCTGAATCTTCTGTGAAAAGAGAAAATGGTAAAAGGATTGCCGCAAATCAACCATCCGAACCAGCTATGTGAAGGTTGTATGAAGGGCAACCAACATAGAAGAAGTTTCGAAGTTGGAAAGTCAAGAAGAGCAACAGAGCTACTACAATTGGTCCACACAGATATTGCAGGACCATTTGAAGTCATCTCTTTTGGAGGAAATAGGTACTTTCTCACATTTATTGATGATTATAGCAGAAAAACTTAGGTTTATTTCTTGAAGGAGAAATCTGAAGCTCTAGAGAAATTCAAAGAATTCAAGGAGATGGTAGCAAAGCAAAGTGGGTACCACATCAAGGTGCTTTGATCAGATCGAGGTGGAGAATATACTTCGAATGCATTCAACAATTTTAACAAGCAGTACGGGATAATTCATCAACTCACTGTCGCCTACACACCACAACAAAATGGCATAGCAGAACGGAAGAATTGCACCATTCTTGATATGGTTAGAAGCATGTTGAAGAGCAAGTACTTGCCGAAGACTTACTAGGCTGAAGTCGTGGACTGTGCAGTTTACCTCCTCAACCGATGTTCGACAAAGAGCGTAAAGTTCAAGACACCATTAGAGATGTGGAGCAACATCAAGCCAAGCGTCAACCATCTGAAGGTGTTTGGGTTCATTGCATATGCACACATCCCAGAGCAGAAAAGAAAGAAGCTAGACGATCAAGGAGAAAAGTGCATATTCATTGGGTACGAGAGGAGGACAAAAGCATACAAGCTCTATAATCCAATTACAAAGAAGATGATCATTTTAAGAGACGTGGAGTTCGATAAAGAAGATTATTGGAAATGGACCGATGAAGACAAAAATATTAAAGGTGTGTTCTTTGAAGATAATGATGATGACTTGCAGGAGGTTGGAAGACCAGAATAAAGTCCACCTAATAGTCCAGCTCCATCAATCCCAACATCGACGACGCCATCATAACCATCCAGCTCAAGTGAAGGAAGCTCTTCAGGGGGGGCAACAAGGAGGATGAGAAGCCTAAGAGATCTGTATGATGATACAGAAACTGTCGAGATGATGGAGGAGTACACATTATTCTATTTGTTTGCAGAATGTGATCCGGTCAGCTATGAAGAAGCTGCTCAAGAAGACAAGTGGAGAAAAGTCACGGATGATGAGATCGAGGCAATCAAGAGAAATAACACATGGGAGCTCACTATCTTACCTGAAGGCCATAAACCAATTGGAGTAAAGTGGGTGTACAAGACAAAGACAAATCAAGACGGCAGAATCGAGAAATACAAGGTCAGACTTGTTGCAAAGGGTTATAGTCAGCGAGAAGGAGTTGACTATGAAGAAGTGTTCGCACCAGTCGCGAGGATTGACACCATCCGACTCATTATCGCATTGGCAGTACAGAACCGGTGGAAGATCTACCAGATGGATGTGAAGTCTGCATTCATGAATGGCTACCTAGAAGAAGAAGTCTACATCAGGCAGCCATCGGGGTACAAGGTGAAGAACCAAGAAGATAAAGTTTATAAGATGAAGAAGATATTGTATGGATTGAAGCAAGCACCCAGGGCGTGGAATACCAGAATTAATACATACTTCCAGAATAACGGATTCTAACAGAGTCTGTATAAGCACTCTGTCTATACCAAGAAGAAGGATGGAGACATTATGATCGTATGTCTCTACGTGGACGACATGATCTTCACCGGCAACAATCCAAAAATGTTCGAGGAGTTCAAAAAGAATATGATCAGGGAGTTCGAGATGACTGACATTGGAAAATTATCATACTTTCTTAGAGTAGAAGTATCACAATCTGAGAGAGGAATCTTCATCTCTCAGAAAAAGTACACAAAGGAGATCCTTCGGAAGTTCAACATGAACAACTACAAACCAGTTGCAACTCCTGTCAAAGTCAAAGTGAAGCTGAGGAGAGACTCACCGGGAATCTCTATTGATCCAACTTTGTATAAGAGCTTAGTCGGAAGCCTACGGTACCTGACCATCACAAGACCCGACATAATGTTTGCGGTTGGACTGGTGAGCAGATTCATTGAGGAGCCAAGGCAAGAACAATTCAAGATGGCCTAGAGGATTCTCAGGTATGTTCAAGGAAACATTAATGAAGGATTATTTTACTCACAAAGTGTTGATCCAAAACTTGTCGGCTACACCGACAGTAACTATGAGGGAGACTTGGATGAAAGAAAGAGTACATCCGTCTACATGTTCAGCATTGGATCAGCAGCCTTTTCTTGGTCATCAAAGAAGCAGTCGGTTGTTGCTTTATCAAGTAGCGAAGCAGAATACATTGGTGCATCTGCAGGTGCATGTCAAGCGATATGGCTTAGAAATCTAATGAAGGAGCTGCAACATGAACAAGAAGCACCAACAAAGATTCTCATCGATAACAAGTCAGCTATTGCACTTGCCAGAAATCTGGTAGCACATGGACGGAGCAAACACATAGAGACAATATATCATTTCATCCGACATCAAGTTAAAAATAAGACTGTGATGCTAAAATATTGCAAGTCTGAAGACCAAATCGCTGATCTTCACCAAGCCACTAAAGACAGAAACATTTTTGAAGCTTAAGAAGAAGCTTGGACTTGTGAGAAATAAAAGTTGGTGATGAGGGGGAGTATTAGAATTCCTCACCAACTTAGATTATTCTAGAACAACTTTCTAGAACAACTTTCTAGAACTTCTTTCTAGTAACATCCTACAAAATATCTACCAAGAAGTTTCTAGAAAGATACAAGTGCATGGCTAGTATTTATTCTTCTAGAAACTTCTTAGTAATATATGGCTAGGATTAACTCTTCTACACACTTTCTAACCCTCTTAAACAACTATAAATAGGGGTCTTGGGCTCACATTTGGGTAAGCAAGTAAGAAGTAAGCTTGAAAGCTTGAGTGTGTAGTGTAGACTTATGTGAGTGTTCACCAAAATAAAAGAGTTGTGTGAAAGTGAGTTGCTCTTGTAAGAGCAAGTATTGTACTCTCTAGTATTCTATTAATAAAAATTTCCTTTGTGTAGAGGGTTGTATTCTTCAAATTCCATCAATTATGGTTTTAACTGTAGGGGGCCTGAATCATAACTATTAGAAACTTGGCTTCTTCTCTTCGTCTTGTAGCGTAATGGAATTGAGACTTGGATTTGATTTTTCATTGTTCGAAGCTTTCAAATTTTTCCTAGGTTAGTGGAGGTCATATTTCAGAATTTG